GCACTTGCTTAATGCATCTTGTTCTTTAAAATAGATTCGTATAAATTTAGTATCGTTTTTACTTTTCAATTAAATCTTATAAATATCTCCTATATAGTTAAACATAAATACTGGTAACCCGATTTATGCAGACATGGATAAAAAAGTTGACCTGTTTTGTCACTCTATGTATTCGTATTCTAGGTACAAGGCATAACTAGGTTATGAAATACTTGCAATGAGAATGCCTTAGACTTAAATGAATATCTTATAAAATCAAACATTTTCTAATGCATAAATAAAACTACTCATATTTGTAACTGATTTATACGTTCTCAAAATAAAGACAATTTAACAAGACGGCAGTTTGCATATTTGAAGTTTTTTTTTGTCTTATTATTTTGCTTGTATATTTACAGGCATAATGGCCAAATAATGTAAATACGAGTGGTACAGCTTAAATTTATTGATATGAACTTGTAAATTTAACTGTGCGTTTTTAAATAGCAACTTGTCTTATATATTTAACGCCATATTTATTATTTATTACATCTCATTGTGCCTTTAAAGTAAAGGGTTTCGATGATAGTACGGGACCATCGACAACTATGATGTAACATTTATAAGTCAAGGCGATCGCAACGGTCCCGTCAACGCTCCATCGAGAATTATGAGCGATTTATGGTGAGAACTAAATGTTAAACTCTCACAAATGTGAGAAAATGTATTATAATGGAATTGTGTTGGTAATGTAAACGTGCACAGTATGGTTGTTCTGCGGTTTCAGTCGCAGATTTAGTTATTTAATCAAAAGTAAAAATGTTTAAACCACAATACTTCATACATTACACTTGGTACTTAGATTATATAGATAGAGCATCGAGTCTCAAAACCGGGTCAACTTTTTGTCACCTAATTGTCAAATTAGCTGACTCGTTTCTTTATCAGTGTTTTATAAACTTATATACATTATGGATTTTAATTTATCTATATTTAATTATTTAATAAATAAAACATGTATTTACTCATTAAAAAAATGCAAAAAAAAATGCAGAAGTTATAAAGGAAACACTCAATACTGTTTATCACGCAAAATTATATGAATAAGTTGACCCGCTTTTCTTGAAACATTTGTATGGAGATACTATCTATGTTATATAACTAACGCTTGGATGGTGTGTTTATATTTACTATACGTTATTATAAGCTATTTTTGAAAGTTTCTGGAATTACTAATTACTCTGTCAGGACAAATATTCAATAATATAACTTTAAATTATTAAAAAAATATATTGAAACCATAAATATGACCATTTAATTTTAAAAGACTCCAAAAAATAATTCTAAAATATTTTTTTAAATAATAAATATTAACCTGGTAAATATTAGCACTTGATAAAAAAATATTTATTTATTTATTAAAAAAATTACATTGTTGTGAAAAATTTAATTTAGCTTTTCAGATTTTTTTTATTTTTAGATAAATATATTCTCTATTTGTCCTGAATTGAAAACTTGCATAAGATAATTAAGTAGATCACTAAAATAGCGTGTACTCACCGACCAAATACAAAATAGGCAATCATTATAATTTATTCTTTCGAAATTTAAATGATCTCTACCTACACCTTTTCCCGTAATTATAACAAACTGGGAAAATAATCAAGAGCGTGCTCAGAGGTGCATGTGAGCACATAATAATCAAAGCCAAGATTATACCTAACGAAACCCTCGGAACCGGAACACTACAGTTATACCGCTCTTCTCTAAATAACGGTACGGCCATTTGCAGTACTTTTTCTTTGTGCTCGTAGTTGCATAGCTACTGTAGACAACTCGATACTGTATCACGTGGAATTCGAACGTGATTCGAATGAGATTATGAAATCGCATATTAAAGTCGTCCAGATTTCACCGATGCATTATTGAAATGAAACTTCTATAAAGTAAATATGCAATTCTATTGAGCGATATATAAAAATATATTGATGTATTGCGAATGAAACTAATAGATATCTTTATATAATTTTATTCATATGTTAACATTTACTAACTGAATAATAATAATTAAATGTTGTGTTGTGTCTTCAATCGTAACAAAACCAATTATTTTAATTTCAAAACTAAACTGCTGAACCCATTTTGATAAAATTTTACCAATTTGATCAATCTGCAAATTAAAAAAAAAAGATCCAAATCTGTTTGTAACTGATAAGTATAAAGTAACAAACATAAAAAATACAAATGAATTGAGAACCTCCTCCTTTTTGAAGTCGGTTGAAAAAATACTCATTTGAATAATTTAAAAAAAGGATACCTGTATCTGTAATATTAAATACAATCAATATATTATGATACTGACGATGACGTAATAACGGTGAAATGCCACTGCTCAAACAAGTCGGCCCGACCCTTTCACTACACTTTTTCAGAATGACATTTGGAACACCTCTGTATAGCGAGAATATTTTTTTTTATAATAATATCATAAAAAAGTAATCAGTGTGTTTTCATATTCTTCAATCTTGAACTCTCCGGTCAATTTTGTTACTATCATAACAATTACTGATGTATCATTTTGTCGGGTACCAATAAAAACCAATGAGAACGGCTCACTGATTACTAAATGCAATATTATTGTTACAGATTTCGTAAGTACACATTATCCCTAATAGTCCCGATACTAATCGAGCTGTCTCGACCAAATTATACATACATTTAGTCGGTAGTTATTACATTAAAATACAATATTATATTATTTTAATAAAAATATAAATTATATGTTTAAATGGACACAGGCTAGCCGTTCATAGGCTACGGTGACCGCTTACCATCAGGTGGGCCGTATGCTTGTTTACCCTCTTAGTGGTATGAAAAAATATTAAATATGTGATATTTACCGATTTTTATTCGAGTTGCAATGGTAAAGTAAAGCATCATCACTTCGGGTGCATTAACCACGGTGGCTGCCTCCTTGTAAAATAAAATTCATTCTTATCAAATATAACAGCATTCGTTTCAATTCAAAAATACAATAAATATCAATGTAATACAATACATCTAGGTAATAAAGAAAAACATTTATAGAATATTTCCGAAGCAATTTGGAAAATAACATGTTTCTGGTCGATTGTGACTCGATCTGCGGTTTGACCTTAATACAATTTTTATTATAGTTTTGAGCCACAATAGCTCACTTTTGTTAGCAAAAGATTAATAGCGTTATAATAAATCTCAGTCCATTTGTAATTTGCTTCTTAAAAGTAGCAAGGTAACATACGATTACAAATGGTGTAATAAAATATAAAGATTGGCAACACACACGTGATATCCCTAGTGTTGCAGGCGTCTATAAGCTACAGTACCTGTTTACCATCAGACGGGCTGTATGCTTGTTTGCCAGCAAAGGAAGCAAACATTATGGAAATACGGATATCCTAAGAAAAAGAGATTTTGGAATTGCGAATAGTAAATGATTATAGACATTTCTATAAGATAAAATTTTTGAAAATATTATATACCTAGTCAAAATAAACATGCTGGCGCATTCAAAACTAATATCAGTAGAGCCTTTTTTTATTTTCTTTGCCTCCTGAATCTTTCTCTCCTATTATTTTATTATGATTTATGCTATAAAGTATGTTTATGAATATACTTGTATATTATTATGTGCAACAACACTTTGTTATGTTATATTTATTATTTATTTTCTATTTGTCCTCTATGCAAAGTTTATCTAAAAGAGTTTACTTAGTGATAAGCCTTAATTTAGTATGGCATCACCTTAATTGTTTACTGTAAACCTTACATGTGTACCTAGTGAGATTAATTATAAGTCATTTACTTCTTACAAACCTTCTTTGATCGTGTTTTATTTATTGATTGAAGATATAAATCTCTCCTTTCATATGTTTGTCAATACTATATAATTTAAAATTTTCTTACCGACTTCGCTAATAGAATATTACTTTATCAAAGGGATTTATCGATCGTTTATCGACTTACGTTTGACCAATTTTTCCCTTAGATAATATCAGATTGATACCATTTATGTGGTCTAAACATGAAATTAAGTCATTAGTGCTCTCCATGCTGTCCGCTAGAGGTGATTGGATGCCGCCATAAATCAGATTCCTATCATAAAATGTTCAATGAGCCTGGACTACCTACCTGAGTAACTTTACCTTCGTATAATAAAGTATCACTATGTAAAGTGTTGCAGTAATTTATTTTGTTATCAGCGTTTCCGTTCTATTGCTCCAGGGATTCGTAGATCAATAGATGTCCTATAGAGATTCTTTGGCCGATAAACAATTTGCCATGGGAAGACTATACATTTATCTGCATGGGCACCTTAATTCCTTTCTTGTTTCTTCCGCTGTGCAGCTGTGCGTGCGATTTCATTTGTTTAATACGGTTTAGTAGAGAAATTTCCAAATATAGAGACTTAACATATGTTCGTTAGGATTAGTAATTACTTTGCCATTTTTAAGTCCTACAGAATAATTAGCAAAAAAATATTAATTTCAACTAGATGTAATTACAGTAAAGACTTAAATTTGTGAACTTTTTCAAAAATAGAAGAGTAATAGAGTTTGTGTATATATTTAATTAACTGTATCCTGCGTCTTCGCTCGCGTGTAGTAGTACATAAAGTACCCTATATACCTACTAAATTGTAACATAACCTACCCATGTACCAATTTTCATTCAAATGCGTTTAATAGTTTTAGCATAAAAAAGTAACAAACATCCACGTATCCAGCCATCGTTACAAACTTTTACATTTATTATATTAATAGGATTTTGGCAAAAATTAAATTGTTTCTGCATTAGCGTTAATCTCCTTACCAGCATCAGCCTCCTAATTGATTATGCTATTGTAAAATAAGGCAAATTAATAATCGATAGCAGAGTTCGACGAGAAGTAATGGCGCAGTAAAACTTGATTATATCCAACGAGCACATACAAACGAGATCTCGATCAGAACTTATGTTCTGCATGCTTATGCATTGTTTCTAATAATGAAATATTTTATATTAATCCACATTATTTTTATAACAAAACATGTGAATTCTAAAATGGAAGGATTCGTTATGGGCGGTGACTTCACAAAAATACACCAATATCCGCATTCGATATATCTCAATATAGCATGCAAAGCGAGTTTTATATGTGGAGGTTCCATTATCAATCAGGACCTCATTCTAACAGCTGGGCACTGCCTTGAAGAATGCAAGGGACAGGTAGATGAATTTTTACAAGTGAAGTATGGTCACGAACATTTGCATTCAATGAAATCAACGTCAATAAGCAATTTTATAATACATGAGAAGTATGACGAGTTATCCTTACACAATGACATATGTTTAGTGACAACCATGAGGCCGATCGCGATGGGGAAGTTTGTGAAGCGAATAGCCATTATGAGAAGTCCGAACCTCGATAAATGGGCTTACACGGCTGGATGGGGAGTCATGAATGTAAGTTTCTTTTTATTATACTTTAAGTCCATTTATAAATGTACACTAACTGCTACACAACAATACGCATGAATGACAACATTCTGATAAAAAATGATGTAAATATCACAAGAGAAACAGTGGCGTGAAAAAATAGAAATAGAGAGGACTTTTTATCCTATATGCATATTGAGTATTCTATGAGTCAATATAATTAAGAATGAATCCTATTTATTTCTTCAACACTAATCTAATCTTTTATTTGCGTATGGGATCAGCTAAGTCGTTGCACGTCAACCCATCGAGATCTCTTGTGCTTCCTCCAGCCTTATACCATCATTTTATGGATCCTATGTCGACATCCCGCGGTTTAAGATATTCTATAGCTCTCTGGCTCTGGATAAGCCGTTCTCAGTAGACTCATACGCATACATGCCAACGAATCGCAGTCGCTCAGCACTAATAGTCACGTACCGATACTGATGCTCTAAAAAGAAATACAAAATGCTACTACACTAGTATAATATTATTCAATATTACATATTTAAACCTTTGCCTTATACAGTATATTATAATTTTATTCTGTGGATGCAGTTAAAAAAAGATGTATCGACGGTATTGAAACATACCGCACAGAAACTACAACCAGCAAACGTGTGTAGGCTCCTCGGGACTATTCCACCAGGAACCTTTTGCGCTGGACCTATTAAAGGACAAGGAGCGCCTGATCAGTGAGATATAATTTTGTTTCTTATTTTTATTATACATATTCGTTTACTTATTACCTCTTAATACCATATCGACTTAACGACATCAAATTACTATAAAATTTGGTATACTCGTATACGTACTATATAAAATGGAGAAGGACATAAGTTATTTATTAATGTTCTTGCATTATAATAGGAACTTACCTTTACCTTAAAGTCGAACATATACGAGCATATTTATAAAATTATATATTACAATTTTTTCACATAATTTACAATACATTTTTTTTAGAATTAATTTATTCCTTTTTTTAATTTTACATGTTATTCTAATTTTGTTTCTTTGTAATTAATGTAAGTTGTTTATCCTCAGGGGTGATTCAGGCAGCGCGTTGATAATATCCAATTACATTCAAATTGGCATCGTTTCATACAAAATTAAGAGGTACAGCCTAGTCGTGTACACCAACGTCTCTTATCACTACAACTGGATTGTAAGGAATGCTGCAAGACTGATCTGCAGGAGTAGAAATAGAGGATAATGTATAAATAAAGAAATGCGGTTTTATTCAAAACTCAAAACCCCATAAAGTCAAAAAAGGTTCCAATTTTGAATGTCTTATTGTTCACCTTCATTTGTCATTCCTCAAACCTCAGACGGATCTCCTTTGGGGTGAAACGTTTGAATGAAAATAATCATTGGATGCTATAAAAGAATTTAGAAGGTTTCTTCCGAAAATGTAAAAAATCTATACTTAAGGCATAATTCTTTTCGATAACAAAGTTAAGATGCCAGTCGCTTTACTTTTAGGCTGAGTAACCAAATATTAATATTTATTTTCAATACCTTCTGAAAATAAAGTCAACAACGATTCATCTTTTAAGAGCATAGATAAATTTATGCTCTAGATAAATCTAGATATTTATATAGTGAGCATTTACATATAATGATATTTAAGATAATTCATTTATTTCGGGTATAACCCATATGGTGTAACTATGTTAATATGTACAAAAATATGAAGATAGCCAGCCCGCCCGCTTACGAACAGCCTGTGAAAGATAGTTTTTTTTTATAAGTAGTAATGGAATTGTAACCCCGCTCGCGCTATCGGTATACTCTGGCAGAGCGCCAGTGGAAGATGATAGGTGAGAATAAATGCAGGTCAGTTGGCCCACCATGATGAATTCGACAAAAATTAACCATGATGGTATCCAGGGGAAACCGCCTAGAGGTCGAACTTAGAGAGTATATTGCTAGTAATGGGACTATTAGACCTCATTACTAACAATTATTTTTCCCCCATGAAAGATAGGTTCACCTAATGCCACACTGTGGGGCTATCCTCACGTGAAATATTGATGTTTATGACTGTGCTGCCGCTTTCGCACATGCGGCGCAACAGCGAAACAGTCTATACATATTATCGCCTTAAAGCCACCTATGCCTTCAAAAAACCGCTTTCTTTTTGCAAACATCCCTGATGCACTACAACAGTGCGGGAACCCCAACAGTATCCTAAACCAATTATTATATTGTACACGCAGGGCTCTTATGGTCCCAGCATAGAATAGGCCACTCCTTTTCCCGTGAGTGTCATAAGAGTCGACTAAGAGAGGTCGAAGTATAGGCAAAAGCGTCCCTCTTAAAACATCTCCTAAGCCTAATTACGGTTGCCAATCCGCTTGCTAAGCATGGCAACTACTGGCAAAATCCCCCATGGGCTTATGTTCAGCAGTGGACAGTTAAAGGCTGATATGACGATGATGATTATGACCCAGTGTTTACTTTTAAACATTGTTTCAATAAGAGTCTCTATAATCTTCCTTAAAATTGTATCTTGGCAGACTTTTACAATGGTCGTGGCTCTTTTATCACGAAAAAAGAGCTCACAAAGTCTCGAATAACACAATCTCGACCAAACCGTCACCGATGACGAATAATGACCTCGTTAAAATGACAAGCTTCTTGGCTAGAGTATATATACACTCTGTCGGTTGTCATTGTATCTGTTGTTCTTTTCCTCGATATTATTTTTTTTTTCATCTGAAAACTGATTCATCGTATTTCAAGATGCTTGCTTTTAGCGTACTGCTTTAACAAAGCTCGATATTTCTTGACTCGTAGTTCCATTAAGAGAGCATTTACAAAATGATCTCTCTTTTTTTGGAAGAGACGTAGTCCAAGGTTTACATTTAGCACCCTCTTTACCGTATTTCTGCGTAAACTAATTCGCAGTGCTATCAATTTCCTTTATCTAGCGGGATTTCTTCTAATTCGAGCTTTAATTGTCTTGACTACAGCTGAGGTTCGAACAAAGGAAGGTCGACCCGATCTCTTGCTGTCACCGATATTAGACACCTTACGGTATCATTTAATAGTGTGTTAAAGAAATCTACGAGTAATATTTAATTTATTAAAAGTTGAAAAATTATGGCAGAAGAATGTCCACAACTATATAATGTAACATCAGCCACGCTGTCAACACTACAAAAAATTCTATAATATCGATGTTGTAAAAAACAAAAGATAAAAGTTTTCAAAATCATTGTTCGCAATTCAAAATTTGACCTATGCGACAGTGCTTATGTACCGAATAAGTTTGTTTATTTATATCCTGACAAAAGTAAATACATTGTTAGACATAAATAATATTAGATACAGCGATGATAAACTCAATTTATTTTCAATATATTGAAAGACACCTTACTCTTCAAGAATGGCAACACATGAGGGATACTGTAGGTTGAACACAGTAGATTCTGTGATCTTTACGGCGCTGTTTAAGCTTTATTACCAACAATAATAGTTAAAAAAAAAAAACAAGAGTAAAAAAAAAATACGACGGTTACTACTTTTCTATTAGAAGGGCTATCAAATAATCATTTAATATTAGCCATCCCATATTAACCATCGCATACTGTACAAAAAAAAGAAAAATTATGTTCTATCTATAAAATATAACTGTTTGAGGCCTATGCCTATTTTCCATATAATGGTAAAACTGTAATTAAAAATATTCTATCCATTACAATTCACATACAATGTTAATTTCTATCGTAAACCCTAATAACCGTGACCATCGTTCCAACAATCGATAAGCGTAAATCTTTCAAAGTGTACTAGATCATTGTTAACGTGTGGAGTATGTTAATTATTCACCATATTACAATTAATTTTATGTCGATATGTCTTATAAGTTACGTGTACGGAAAAATGGAACCTTTTATTGTAAATGGCGACCATGTCTATATAGAAAAATTTCCGCATTCGGCCTTCCTCAGTGCATACTGTGTGACGAGATACAAAACGACCATTCATATTTGTGGCTCGTCTATCCTGAATCAGGCTATTTTGCTGACGGCAGCACATTGCGTGTATAACTGTAGAAGGAATAGTCATTTTCATGCTGTTGTCGGAAATGAATATAGAGACGTGGGAGAGTCAGGGCATGTATTTTCAGTTTCCAAATCTAAGATACATGATAATTACACAGACACGAACTCTCAGCACGATATAGCACTCCTTAAACTGAAGAAGTCGTTGTTACTAGGTCCAAGGATAGCAAGAGTATCAATTACAAATAACCCACCTAAGAATGTAGTGGCTTTTGTTGCTGGATGGGGTGTAATAGACGTAAGTTGTATTTAAATATCGAAATCAAATTTAATTGTTATTAAGCTAATGTAGAGAAATATGGTTGAGTAGTAGAGAACATCGTCCGGTGTTAAGTCTGCCAAATGTATTGTAACTCTCTTCCGCTGCACATTCGCGAAAGTTAATCACTGAATATTTTCAATATTTTAAAAGAACATCTTTTGTCCTCATAAACTTATTACGTTTTTGTATGTATATGTATGTATTTTGTATATGTGGCGATAATTTTTTATAAATATGTATTATTATATACAGATATGTATGAATTTTGAATGTAAGTATATAAGTTATTTTGTATTTAGGTAAGCACATTTATTTTTTAATAATAGAACTAACCATACTGTTTCCTCTTCTTATAGTACGCACACAGCCTGCTGGTAATTGATGTTTCTTTCCACTCAGGGTTTGCTGGAAGAGAATTCATACAGAATTAAACTCGCCTGTTGTACATCTTTATTTAATATAAATTACTTTATTATACAAAGTAATTTTTTGTGTAAAATAAAGTATAAATAAATATATTACTGTCTATCCTATTTACGAGCTGCGCTCATGTCGGTGGACCTCTTGCCACTCACTACGATTTTCAGCGAGTCTCTTCACTTCTTGATACGACACGACACCAACTCCTTCCTTGATCTGCCTGATGTAACTATGCCTTGGTCTCTTTTCCTCCTTACTTCTATTATAATGTTCGTAAGTTCATCGTGTCGTATCAAGTGTCCCAGCATTTATTCCCTTCTGTACTTAATAAATATATATTATTAATATATTACAAACCACAAAAATTCTAATTTAGGAAACACGTGACTTGAATACGATGTGGTTAATTTCGGCCGCACAGAGAGTTTGGAATAGAAAAGAGTGCATGAAAAAGCTGGGCAAAATCCCTATTGGCACTTTTTGTGCTGGTATTACCGACAGCAACAGTTACCCTGCACCGTAAGTATAATTATATATCTATTTTTTATGATACTTAGCATACATATATGTTGGTCCACCTAATGGAAAGTGGAAATCGTTGCCTATGGACATGAACAGTAACATGGATATTATAGAATGCAATATAATGTTTTCTTGGGGATTATAGCATTGTACCTCTGTACCCGGTAATTCCACTGCCATACTCAGCCCTTCAAACCGAAGCATAGACTTGTAAGCACAACTGCTCCACAGTTCATTTTATTCCATATATTTCAGGGATCGTCAACCGAGCCAAACGCGGCTCTTTTAATGTGAAACTGCGGCTTTTTAGTTCCATACGCAAATATTATTTTACAAAAAAAAAATTAAAAATCATTCTGATTCGGTTAATGACGACTAGTCGTCGTTTAATGCCTAAGCATTAAACTCTACTTATTTTTTAATACCATTTATTGTTAGAAGGAAAAAAATTTCTGACTAAACTTTGAAATTTTGTAAATTTTAATGTTTGACTCTTGTGTCTCAAACAGTTGCCGACATATATAGGAGGTATATTCATGTAGTTTTTTTTTTATCTTATGTTTTAAATTTAGAAATTAACGTTGTGTATCTAATTTTGTATCCCATTACAAAAAGAGTTTGAATGTATTTTTTTTTTCTTTCTTTTTGCTTACACTTATTGTGAACAAATTTTTATAACTTTTTGTTTATCGAAAGAGTTTACTCCAGTGTTAATTTTGTCAAGATTCCAATAGTATTTTTCGGTAATTTTTTTTTTCAAAAAGTAGGATGTAATTTGTATTTCAACTTTAGTTCTCATCTATATTAAGCAAAATACTTCTACCAAATTTAAGCTATATTCTAGCAACTTTATTAGCTGCGTATTATACGCAATTCATATCGTCAATTTTGAAGCACATTTTGGTAATTCCTCATGTAATCGGCTTTATTTAATCTCGTCTACCTTATATCAATTTCATAACTACATTTTAATATAATAATGACCAAATTAACTTACGTGTGTCGTGAAAACTTGACTAGTTTTGGGACTATCCTGGGCCCTTAGTCATGAGAGGCCATGTCGAGCACAAGCGTGACTGCGCGCCTTAGAAAAAACTACTCGAGCTTTGTCGACTAAAATACACGTAATCTAATTCGGTCGTTATTCCATTAAAATATTATGTGTACTTAGGAGTTTTTCGCGAATACAATTTTATGACTGTTTTAAAATCTCAATTGAAGTTTAAAGAAAATATTAAATAAATCTGAAAATCTTAATTATTACATTATTTTCAGGGGTGACTCTGGCAGCGCTCTCATAGTTAACAATTACATACAAATTGGTGTGGTTTCTTATAAACTACCAACAATATCAAATAACATCACTGTATATGCGGACGTCGCTTATTACTACGATTGGATAGAAAAAAACTCTAAAATACTTTATTGTATATAGTATGTTATTTAATAATTTTTTTATAATTAAAATAGTACATTTAAATAACATTTTTGTTACAAATCAGCTTCAAAAATATGATTTATTTTTTGTTAATGTATTACATACCACAAATGTACCATTTTAGAATGATGATGTGATGTATTTTTTTATGTAATTTACATGCCACATAAGTGAACAACCTCGTATAATTAGTAATTTCCATTCATCTCTATCAGTGGAAATAGGTGAAATAAAACTTCATTCTTACCCATCAGTAGGAAAACGTTGGTAGGAGCAAATAGAACTAGCCATATTAGGCCTAAAGATCACTGGCTGCATTCAATGACTTTTCCTGTATGAATCAGTTTATAAATTACTCTTTCTGTTCATATGGTAATATGGCCCATCTGTGTAAATTTCATTCAAATTCATTCAGCCTTTTAACCATTATATTATTTCAGCCCTTAACTGTCCACTGTTGAACATAAGCCTTCCCCATAAGGGGATTCCCATGGGGTGCCAGTAGTTGCCACGCTTGGCAGGTGGGTTAGCAATCGCAATTAGGCTTTTACAGATGTTTTAAGAGGTACACTACTGCCCATCTCTCCACCATAAGCTTCCTTAGTCGCCTCTTACAACACCCACGGGAAAGAAAGGGATGGCCCATTCTATGCCGGAACAGACACGGCGATTTAACCATGGTTGGGAAGAAATATACAATCATTTATTTATTTACACTTTATTGCAATATTTATAAAAATAATAAATAGAGTTAATTTCAATGTGAAGTGATACAAAGTGTCATCAATTTTATGAATTTTGAATATTATCTAGATATCCAGAATTCATAAGAATTTATATTATAAATGTGCCAGAAATTAACTAGAATTTTTGCTACTTTTTTTATCAACCCAAAATTTTTTTTTTGTGATTTTCTTTAGGTGACTTTTTATTTTGTTACGCATTCATATACCTTCATTGTTCAGAAATCCATTTTTATGTATTTTTTTTTTCAAATTAATAAAGACACACAGTATATTGAATAATGGAATCCATTTCTTAAAACTAATGTTGGTATTCATCGATAGAGTATCAAAGAAAGTGTTTAATCCAGCAAAATAAAAGTACCAAATACTTAAATATTAAATAAAATCCTCAAAAACAAAGAACAATCTATATCTGTATCAATACATCCACATAGTACAATGTAGGGAGAAAGGGATTATTAGTAACGCGGACTATTGGCCCCATTACTAGCAAGACCTCCACGCGGTTCCCCCTGGAAACCATTGTGATTAATACTTGTCGCATTCGTCACGATAGGCTAACTGACCTGCTAGATTACGGTCCAATATTATTTTTATTAAAATTTAAGTCTTATTAAGAAAACACAAAAAAAATAAAGTTATATTTCTTCTGCATGCTACAAGATCTGTTTTTACATATGACGAAGGTTGTAAACAAGCATACGTCCCGCCAGATGATAAACGAATTGCTAGTCGACTACCATCTGCTCACAGAGCAAAATTAAGCACGTAAAATAACATTAATTCATAATTTAATTTACTATGCAAATGTTCCTCTCATCTAGCGTGACTGGTTTCTTAATTACCAATCGATTTATATCAAATTCCATCTAATTGGCCCGCGGAAATTCAATTAAACACCCATAAACTTTCCATTACGACCATTTGCAACTTACAATTAAGATTTTCCTATATTAAGATATGAAATATTACATTGTAATAGGAATAATAGCTTATTTACCCCAAACTTTTACAATTTCAAATTCTTCAGAAGTTAAAAACATAACGTCACTTATCTACAAGGGATATGAAATTGGTGTCCATCCATATTCTTATACCGCGTTCGTACATTTCGAAACGACTCAACCATCTTCGTGTGGAGCATCCCTAATTATGGTGCAGGCTATATTAACAGCGACCCATTGTATAGATGAACTTAGATACAATAGAAGAAAAGCGTTCGTATACTTTGATGTATCTGTACCAAAGTACTTGAATATAATACGAGAAGTGGTAAACTATGAAATAAATCCTAAATATAATGAGGTCAATGGACGCAATAACTTGGCTGTTGGGTTTTTGGATGATCGAGTGATATTAAAATATCAAATTAAGAAAATACCAGTAGCAGAAAAGCGCTTATTCTAGATAATGAAGCGTATTCTGTTGGTTGGGGTAAACAATTTGTAAGCAATCATATTAATATTATAAATGGGGGGAAGGGATTGTTAGTAATGAGGATTAGTAATCCTATTGGGCCAGAGTGAGACTTTGTTCAAAAGTCGTTTGCTTGGGCACCTCTGTCTCATTCGTGTTACTACCGTGAAGCAGTTGTGTTTAAGTTTGCAGGATAGGATATGACAGTAAATTTACAGGGTACAGAGAAATAACACCTGAGTCCTTAGAAATAGCATCGCATGGGAGGTGTCATGGGCGAAACAGTACACTCGATTATGTCCATGATACTTATAGGCGATAGTTACCACTTTCCAACAGGTGGGTCGTCAGCTTGTTTGTCATTCTAAGTTGCATAAAAAATATTGCTAGTAATATACCCTATAACATCAGGTGGACATCCTCGCGATTCCCCCTGGAAACTAACGAGATTGATTTATTATTGAATTCATCACAATGTGCTAACTTGCTTCATCCTCACCTATCATCCCCATTGGTGCCTCGCCAGTATATACCGATAGCACAGGCAGAATTACTATTCCATTATCATCCATTAAAAAGAATATTGTAAATGCGAAAGTTTATAACAATGGATGGATGTTTGTTACTTTTTCTCACAAAAACTACTGAACTGATTTGGATGAAATTTAATACATTTGTAGTTTATATCTTAACTTAGTACATAGGATACTTTATGTACATAAAGTATTTAGTAATACACGAAAATATGGACACAGTACACGCAGTGGTACCATTAGTAATAAGTATAGGAGAAAAAGTTCTCATCGAATTATTCAAATTTAACACGAACGACGTCGCTGGCAACCGTTAGTTTTTGTAATCACAAGATCTAATTATGGATCTAGAACTAGAGTACTCGTAGTTATGATTGTACGTGATCTATCGCATCGCTTATTTGTACATATGCTTAACTACCATGGAACAACGGTACCCCTACATTTTATTGTAATTATACGTTTATAAAAACTGCATTAAAGATTGTGTCCCACAAAAACTAACTTCAATTATGACAAAACAAAGTTATTTTGATCTGAAGACTACTAAACTATTCAATCGATTTTTATAAAATTTCTATAATACCAACCTGTATATCCTTTCACTTTCAGATAAAAAAAGGAGTTTTCTAAATTGATTTAGAACTGATGAAGTAATGAGTTAACAAACATAAAAAAACATAACATTTTTTTTATACAACTTAGAATGGCAAACAAACTGACGGCCCACCTGATGGAGAGTGGTAACCGTCGCCTATAAACATGAGCAGTACTATGGATATAACAGATACATTAATTTCTAAATTAGATATTCAGAAATACAATTGTGAGAACCGTATCTAAT